TGGACCTTGGGCCAGCTTCTGCCATTCTCTCCTCCTGTCATGAGGTGCTCTTGGCACTTTTTCTGGTTCATGAGGACGATCTAGATTTTTCTGCTATAACAGATGTATTGAAACAAAGCCAAATGCTGAAATGCTAATTTTTAAAAAGAGGTTACAACTATCATAAAATTTGAAAAGTTGAAATATTGAAAGACAATACCATAATACGATAAAAGTAACACAGGGACAGTTCACTGATACATTCAGAGTTCAATTTTAGCTAGTCTGCAGTTATCCAAGTTTCTTGCCTTTTTTAAAACAATACAGGAATGAACCCAGGACCTCCCACATGCTAGGCAAGCACTCTATCACAGAGCTACATCCCCAACCCTTTCTGTTCTCTTATTTTCAGATGAGAGTCTCATTAAACTGCTAAATCTGGTTTCAAACTTGTCATCCTCCTGCTTTAACCACCTGAGTAGTGGGGATTATAGGTGTGGTGTTGTGCATGTGTCATGTTTTGTAACCACAATTTTGAATTGATGTGCTGAACACATTAGAATATGCTATGGTAGGTTGAATATGAGGTATCCCCAAAAGCTCAGGAGACAATGTGGCAATGATTAGAGGTGAAACAATTCAGTTACGAGTGACATAGCTGAGTGACATAGCAACATGTGATCCATCTATAAACTAATTGGTAGATTAATCCATTTATAAACTAATTGGTAGATGAATCCATTTGATGATTAATAATTTGAAAGGATTCCTGTATTGGGTCTAACTATAGATCTGGTGTGAATGGAGGAAGTAGACCAATGGGGGAGTGCCAYTGAGGTTACATTTTGTTCCCAGCACCTTACTGTCTTTCTCTGCTTTGTGACTGTCAGGAAATGAACAGTTTTCCTTTCTACACCCTCCTGTTATGATGTTCCACCATCACCTCAGGCCCAGAGCAATGGAGTGGGCCAACCATGGGTTAAGTCTCTGAAACCATGAGCTGAAAAATAAACTTTTCCTCCTCTAAGTTATTCTTGCCAGGTGTTTTAGTCACAGTGATGTAAAAGTGACTAACAAATATGTCTAAGTAATAAATGGGGAGGTCAGAAATTCCTTTCAAATGAAAATAAAAACAAAACATCCCCCCCMAAAAAATCCCCAAACAAAAAACCCCTCCCTCTCTCCAAGATCTATTAGCTTGAAATTTCTGCCATAAATTATACATTGTTTGCTTCTAACCAATGTGAAAATTTACCAAGATTATGCTAACTGGGAAGCAACCAATTAGCTGGCTGACACATGGGAAAAAAATTCTGTTATCCAACTAATCCATAATAATTGTTATCACTCAACAGAACACTGGGTTTTTAAACAATAGAATACAAAGTGATTCAAATTAGGGGAGAAAAGTCTAGAATAGGTATAACAAATATYGAATGCCTAAAGAAGCCAAGCAGATAACATACATGAATGAAGCTAGTCAGTATATGATGGGGTAGGCTGTGAACTAGACAGACATATCTCATCTAAGAAAYTGCAGTTCAAAAACTTTAAGACCCCTCTTTTTGGCAAATGAAACCTGCCTAATGGCGTAATCTAGTTTGCCAGTCACCAGTTTGCAAACTGGTTAGAACACAGAGACACTGTCTAGCACAGAAGATGACAAAAGGGCATTACAGAGATTGGGAAAAGTAGAAATAGCTACAAGACAAACAAGAATGATAAAGACAGATTTTGCCTCCTTCATAAATGCCTAAATCCAAGTTACTTCTTCCATATTTTCTGTTATCATTAACATAAAAGAAAGCAGATCCAAGTGAATGCATTAAAGTAGAAATTGACAACACAAGAGACAGATAACAGGAGTTTAGTAAGAATCTAACTTCTTTAAAACATTTGGAAAACTTTAGGATGTGCTCTTTGGCAAGAAAATATTAGCTTAATTTACTTACTTTACCAATATCTGCATATAATATTCCTTTATTTCTCCATACTAGAATGCCCTTCTCTTCCATGGTCCAATTTATTTTCATTTGTTCTTCAAGATTGTTTATAAAAGCTTTGTCTGCTGGCTAAAGCATATGCTATTTTGTGTTACCCAAACCTCTAAACAAACCTCATTATGGCACTACCATACCGTAATAATCTAATATAATCTAATTGCTCATCTGCTTCCCTAGGAGACTCAGCTGTACAGATATAAAGACTTCAGTATGGATCCAAGTAAAATAAAACCATCAAAGTACAGGATTAATAAAGTTCCATAAATGCAATAAACATAAACATACAAAAAATAACTTCAATTTTTAAAATCTCTTTTAATACCTTCTGTTTCCTCTTTTCCTTCCTCTTGTCCTCTGTATCTTGCAACATTTTTTCTTTCCATAGATCAAAGAAATATGAAGGATTGGTATAAAACTTCAAACCTTCTTTACCATC